TGTCAAACTTCTACTAGCGTTGATACCTTATTTGGGGTTCACCGTTCGCGTCGATTTGGAAGAGAATGGGTTGCGACTCTAGGTCCTCGGATTTGCCCACAACCGGAAATCCATAGATTCCTCTACGTATACTGTATAGCTAACTTCTGCAGGAAGGTACAGTGGTAGAGATACATTCCTATTTTACATTAACATCGAAAGGTTTGTGTTACAGGTACAGTTGACCATAAAGCCTGTCATATGTCCTCCTCCTCCTCCTTCAACAGATTTCTCAGCCAACGCTTTAGTAAGGGTCTAAGCGTAGACCATAACATCGTAAAAAGGTCGCAAATAGCAGCACAAATTGTTCCAAAAGCCTGGAATAGGGTGGCAAAGATCTGACTACCAATTCCCATGATTCTAACAAGAAGATCACCAATTGGTTGTCGAAAATACTGGTTAAAGCTGCATCAGTGACTGGCAGACGATAGCGTGTACAACCGGGACCTACGACTGTGGACGTTATCATAAGACACATCACAACTAACGCCCAAACGTGTCCAGGCGGGCCTGAGCAACGACGGAGAGCAGGGGCCTTAATCTCAGAAAACATTGGGCATCACTGGATGGCATTCAGGTAGAGCATTGCCACGTACAATCCAGGGTTTCCATCTTCCACGCCGCTCACGACCTGTGGAAATAACAAACTTTAGAGTCGCCAACTTCATCATGACTGGAAATGGGGTCACTCGTTGAAGCACGCCAAATCCTTATATACGTGTCTGACCCCGTGCATGTGGTTGCGGAAGCGATCAACGCATAGGAGTCAGCTTGATGAACCTGAAAAAAAAAGACATCTCTTCAGAAACAAGGCCGTGTCTGTCAAAACAATGACTGACGCAAACGGCTTGGACGACATAGTCTACATGGTGGATGTTCAAAACAACCATAATATATCGTGTGCGTTACGCACCGTTGTGCGACAGGGTCTGCTGGTGGATACCTGATGCAGTATCCCAAATGCGTACGTCACCGCCTTGAGAACCACAAAGAACAGATTTGCCTCCATTCAAGAAGCTAGTCATCATTGGGTAATTGCGATGGGCATCTGGGGTCTGTTTGAAGGATCTCCAAGGTACGCTGTTTCCAAACTCGTAGATATCCATGCCATCCTTCAGGTTGTAAACCAATAGATGTTGGAAATCTGGGGAAAGGGCAGAAAATCCACTAAAAGACATCAGCATCGTTTTGCGGTGTGGCATTTTCATGTATCTTACATATGGTGATGTTGGTGGGTAGGGGTTATTGACCATACCTTCTCTCTTGTCAACACGTCCCAACAGCTGATGGCCCGTCATTCACTCTGATTATGCGATGGAAGGTGCAGGCGTACACGATACCGTGATTTAAATAGGACACAATGAGCTGTGAGCCACCAGGCAGCAAGTGAACCGATCGCGGGCGTATCCTTTCGTCGTCGCCCTCTTTTTCTAAAACGAGCTTCGGCGGAGAAGGCATAATGACGAAGGTCGCGTAGGTATCTAATCAAAGGTAAGCGAGGAGATTAAAGGAATCTGCGCCGACGAACACTCTGTGATCTTCTTTGACACCTGGACCTCCGACCCTACACCTATCGCAAGATAATTGGACTCGGCATCGACGTCGAGAGCGTCAACAGAAGCTGTTATTCCTGTTAATACCTCACATCCAGTGTTCTCTTCTTTGGGCTAGAAAGCAAGTGAGCAACATCATTGTCGTCACAGTCACATAGACAAAGCCTACCGAGAAGTTCTCAACGACAATGAGGGTGCCGTCCTGGCAGCCGAAGTACAATGCGCAATTTCGAGGGTGCCATATCAAAGACGAGACTTCATCTTTGACAAAAATTCTTTGCAAACTTTTGCCCGAAATGGGGTCCCAAATGATGATGGACTTGTCGTTAGATCCACTCGCAAGATAACGCCCGCAAGAGGAAAATGCTAAAACGTTGACGCCAGATACATGGGAGCCAGCTAGCGTGTGAAGACGCGTGTAAGGCTCAAAAGGCATCGTTGCAGAAGAACTTGCTGGAGAGTCTTGAAAGAGTATGCAGCTCAGAACATTATGTAACGCGGTCATCACATGATTATGTAGATCCTTGTGTCGAGTTTGTGCATAGCTCCGTTAAAAATGATACATTCGTCTGTGCGATGCATTGACGACTCCAGAAGAGAGAAGTCACACCTTGATGACGGGCGTGCCGCAGCAATTGAACATTGACGTTTGTAAGATATTTAAGGAGATGGGAGGAAGGAGCGGAGACAATGTAAAAAGCAGCACAGGGAAAGTAGCTGACAATCAAGAGGAAATGGAACACCCTACTCTAGAAGTTTTCAATAAAGAAGCAAAGAATATGGGAACGCGCAAAATTGAAGGAGGAAGATGGATACGGCAACTGAGGGCCCGGGAGAACATTAGACAACGGGTGAGCGCGAAGCAGGACAGGAAAAGGGGCGAAGGCGGACGAAAAGGAAAGGGGAAAGAAGGAAGGGAGGAGCGACGACAGAGGAGAGCTTAGCATAATAGCATCCAATAACTTAAGCGCTTGAATGCAGGACAAAGTTACTGGCAGAACCCAAGGAAAAAGGCCTGACACAGAGGCTGATCAAAGGATCAACACGCCTCACGGCAGATAAAGAAGCCCGCCTCCAATAGGCGAGAGCGTGGCTCCCTAGTGTGAAAAGCCATGAGCTGTGGTACTGACAGTCGGTCACAAATTCGCAGAGAACAGGGCCGGTAAGCGGTCATTGAAGGTTAGGAAGGTTCAGCGTAGAACACAAACGCAGACGACTGGAGTAAACGAGAATCTTTTCCCCGCGGGAGTTGAGGTCATAGGGGCACTTCGACTTTGCCCGTAGTTCGTGGTCAGAAGCTACCGCTATGGAATAGCAATCCGCAACATTGGCTGGAAAGTTTTGAAGCGGCCCTGCGCGATGTCAGACTGGGGTCGCTATGAAGCGCAACTGAAGCGATGGTTGAATGCAAAGTAATCTGGAGAAGACTCCAGAAAACGTTGCATGATCGAACGAAGTGAGCACTGAGGTAAGGTCGATGCAAGAAGGTGGATGAAGACGATCGAAGGATAGGCAGACAGCGCGCACAATGCACCTGCTGACACCCGGAGTAAAGGACAGACGTGCCCGGAAAAGTGTCAAGAGCATCAAATGTTGCATTGAACGCCAGATGCCATTCGCCATCCGAAGCCTTTGCCAAGCAGCGCCAAACATCAATGGCTGGTAAAATTGGAATTCACGTCCACAGAGTGGTAACGAGCTGCTTGGTAGCTGTTGGTGGGCCCTTGTCTGCCAGAAAGTCGATAAACAGCTTCAGACAGATGGATCAAAGGACATAAAATGCCTATTGAGCCTTGAGTCAGTTATATTCCCTTAGATGAAGACAACACTCACCAAGCCGATGCGAGGTTTCTTGTGCGGCAATTTGTCTTCCGTGTTCGATGAATTCCACATGTGCAACACAGGGGTGCTGAGTCATAGTTTATGAGAAAAGTCTTTGCGCGATTTCACGCCAGAGCTGACTGTATGATCGAAAATTTTGGAGGGCGTGCGTGAACAGAACAAACAAGGTGTCAATGAAACTGTCGGCATTGAGAACATTTGCAGCCGAAGCAAGTTGCAACGCCGTTTCAGGCCAATTGCGTTCTGGTAGGGAATTTCGCTTGATGGCAAAGATGCGTAACCGTCGTTGCGTGGGGTGCTGGAACAAGAACGCGGACAGCTGTTGCCGACTGTAGGCCTACGCCGGGGAGTCATGGGGATGTGACAGACGCTCACCCTGGACTGTCGTGGGACACCAATCGCCTGCTTCCGTGTTCTGCAGCAGCGGACCTCCTTTCCAGCTGCAATCAACATTGACATGCGCGGTTTAG